AGCATATGAAGACACAAACCTGTATCAGAATGAAAGTGTTCCAGGCAATCATAACTCAGCACCACAGTACTGTGCGGCAAATGCGGACCAAGTCGAAACGACCCCTTCTGTTCCAAGAAATAGTTTGTATGGACAGCAACGCGAAAACATTACCATGGCACGTCATAGTATTGCGGAGGATTTGGGCATCCTATATGGAAGTTGTCCAGCAACAGACGAGTGAACAATTTGTATTCTAGTATGGTCCAGAGTCTCAAACGTCATCCTCAGATTTATTTTTATTCGGAAGCACACTGATGAATACAAATAAAAGGACAAGTGACTGCGAACTCAAGTTAGTTACAACTTAAATTCTTGCAGCCACTTTTAAAATGAAAAAAGGCGTTTACAAGATATTTGAAAAAAACAAATTGATTGCATGAGTCAAACCTCCCATCCTAGAAGAGAAGGAAAGCATAGCAGGACACATATAACTAGAAGCGCTTTGTTTATGTGTTGTAATTTTGCGCGGCCAACATAATTCCACGGTTAATGTCATTCGAACAAACCAAACTGCCGCGAAGAACTAAAATTTGTTTAGCATTGTTAGAAAGTGTGTTTTAGACTAAAAGCATCCAATGCGATTTCAGAGCAGCAAAACTGGAAATATTCTGAATAAGGCAATCTTTGATATTGACACATACTTCTTTACATTAGCATCTTTGAGCAAGCATTTCAAAATTTGGGCTTTTAAAACTACAGAAACAAGCCCCGAGATGAGTCCTTTATCTGGGTGCTACCCTAAAATCAGCAAAGGGCCTTTCGAGTAACCATTTTCTGTCAGACGTTTGGGCACCATGGAGGTCAATATACATTGGGATTGTGTGGTTTCAACTCAGTATGTAAATAAATGGCTATAACATTGGTTTGAAAAATCGGGTTTCTAATCCCTAAAAACCGGAATGGATGCCTTTAAACTGAAATGGATTTGGCGTTCTGCTTATTTTTTCAATATACATGTAGATTCTAGCTTTTATGAAATAATGTTAGACGTATTTCTTGTAAGACACGTTTATGTATATTATAATGTGTTGATATGATTTGCTGGAATTTGTTGCAACCTCCCAAGTGGAAGCTTGTATTGCGACTTGCACCTGATTACCTGCTACACTGTTTCAGCTACAACCACCAAACACATCAGTACAACACAAGACAAGCAAATCTACTGCGTAAACCCAAATACACAAACAGAACTGGACAGAGAACATTTAAGTATAGAGCAGCTTCAGCCTATAACTCGCTTAACACGGTAACTAAACAGGCATCAACAATAAATGCCTTTAAAGTAGCGCTAAGAACATACGACCTCTGACCCTGACCTCACGGACAACCGACTGTCATTATTTGACAATACGACTATGCCTAACGATTTTGACTATTTGTTTTGGTTGTTCCGTTGTGTTTGTATGATTGATTACGTGTACCCTCTGCTTATATCATTTATTGTCATTTGCTACGATTGATCATTTGATTAATCTGTTTTATTTTGTTTAATTTTATTGTATTCCATGTTGTCCATTGTGTATGTTCTGTTGGGCTACCTTGGAAATCAGTCTTTCAGAGACTGAAGGTACCACCCAACTGTTTTTAAGAGCAATAAATAAATAAATAAGTATTCAGTACGTAAAAATACATGCCGTAAATTATATAAAAAATAATACATGTATTGGAAAACGATAGTACTCTTCAAAAGAAAGTTCCAGTCGACTATGCTTAATAGATTTAATCAATACTTCTGTGTGGACATGTCTTGTTCGTGGATACTGTCGTGTGACTGCACCACCTGCCGCGCTACTAGCGAAAATGAGACTAGAAAACAATAAAGGGAATTCGAAGAGTTCTAACAACCAAGCTTGAAACTGGTACACTGAAATGTAACAATTCATGCACCAATGAGATTTATTTTCATGTAATCTTCATAACAAGACCCGTAACCTTCCACCTAAAAGGAATATCCTCTCTAATAAAATGCAAAACACCGAGTTGAAAAAACGTGAAACGATATAATAATTTAGTAAAGAGAAAATATGGGTCAAGGAAACGTCAACTGTAAAATGAAACTACTAGTAGTAAATCCATACAAACCTAACGCTAACTAAAATAAACAACCAATTCCGGCTGTTAGTTACTGATTATGTACAACGTCTATTTGATACTGTCAGAGTTAATGCGATAAAATTATTAAAAATAACAACATAACAATTAATTAGGCTAACCCAACCAAACAACAATGTAAGAAAAATACCTAAAAGAGCAATACCGTACAACATACTAGTATTAAGTCTAAGTAGAGGTCGGAGATCTCATGTCTTCGTCAGAGGTACATCGTTCTAGAGAAATTAACATGCGTATTCTTCACTCTTTTTAATAATCAATTTGGTCTAAAGAACAAAAGAATCTCTGTACTATTTTTATGGTACAGAACACCCTGAAACGGTTTGCCGCAGATTATACAGATGCGTCGTCCCCCGTGTTACGCCCCCCCCCCCCCCTACCGTTACTTTGGGTTTGGACTGTTACTGGAAAAAAACGTTCAAGAAATTCTTACTGTGTTGAAAGTATCACGACAGCGCCGCAAAATATAATAAGAGAAGATGTTATAAAGGAAAGAATCAGAACAGGGCGACTACTGCTGTTTTGTTAATTGTCTTTATGACAAATAGAAGACTTGTGTTCTTTGTGTCCTAACATTTGTACTTCTACAGTTAGTATATTCCAAATCTAGGCATCTCGTTTTTCGGCCCTTCGTGTTTTTATTGCGCGCTTGCCTTAAATTTAAGGTAATTAGATTTAAGGTCTCCAGTGGAACGTCATCCATAGCAATTACTTGGTGTGGCCGTAGAAAATAACCTGACATATGTCCAACCTATCCTCCCTCTGCTGAAGTTATAGTACAATCCCTCAATGTAACGTCATTTGATCCCATCCCATTATGGGGTTCCCCGGCTATATCCAGCTGTCGGCTGTCTCCAAGCAGATGTAGGTGGGGAATTTCTAAACACAAAAGGTCCTATTACGGGGACATAACGGCCTCCACGACTCTCATCTTTGAACTCAATCTTGGAGACCACGACAGTAATATGCCTATCGAATTTCATTAACTTCCATCCACACATACAAAAGTTATCCTGCTCACAAGAAAAATTAACAAAATGCCCCCTGTAGTCACAACGAAACCCCCCACGAAGCTCAGTAACGAACTTAACCTTGGTCCCGACAATAGTAAGCACCACACCAAGAATTATAATCAACATTTTACAAATAACTTGAGTTATCTTGCTAACAAGCCACAAACAACAAAAGGTAGCACTAACGTGACGCACGGACCCCCCACGAAGCCGAAACTTGTACTTGACTTCGGCCTCAACAGCGGTAATATGCCTGCCAAAATCATGGACGTCGAATCATGCCTGCCAGAGTTATATCGCAAAATCCGCAGTTCCCCACACTCCGGCGAGACAATTTCATAGTCCTTCTGACGAAGACAATTACAAGTAAACCGAAACATTTGCTGCATGTTAGTAAACTTCTCTCAAAACGGCGTAAAAAGAAAATATATCTATGACAAGGAAAAAGTATAAAGAGTAAGCAAACTGAAAATAACACAACAAAAAAGATCCATGGAACACTAATTTTCTACTTGGCATTTTTGGTATTTTATTCTACAATGACGAAGGAGACTGTGTAATATATATAACCTATAACAGAAGGGATGCTTGACCAAAAAGAAAGGGATAATACATGCCAAAATAAAGGTAACTTAAATTCGAGAAATGAACAATATAATATACATGTATGCAATTCATAGTGATTATCTAGTGAACTTCCTAAACTGCTGTCATCACATCAAACCTGTAGGCTTTCTCGCCTCCATGCAGTGTCTTTGGCACGTCTTACACAAAAAAGAGGCCTTTAGAAGGCCCAGCAGTGCAGAGCCAAGGCTACCTGCTTCCCTTAAAAGAATAAAGGGAAAAGTTCAAACATCAACGTCTAAACTGATTCAGTAAAATGCAAAATTCACAAAAAGTACGCACCAACAACTTGACTACGTAAGATTAATTTTCATGTAATCTCCATATCAAGACCCTGATACCTTCCATTTGAAAAGGTATATCCCCTAAAATAAAATACAACACCAGACTGAATTGAAAGTATACGTAGTAAAAAGATACAATTCAGAAAATAGAAAATATGGACACACACTTTGTCTAGGAAACTTCAACTGGAAAACGAAACTAGTACGCATATTCATACAAACCTAACGCTAACTCAAGTGTACAATCACTTCCCGATGTCAGTTACTAGTTATGTACATCTAATCGATACCATCAAAGTTAATGCGATAAAAACAATAACAGTTAGGTACGGCTAACCCAACGGAACAACAATGTAAGAAAAGTACCTAAGAGAACAATACTGCACAGCATATTAAGTCTTATTACAGGTAAACTAATGCTGTTAGCATTTGCTGCATGTTAGTAAACTTCCATCTAAAATGTAAGTCATATTTTGTGAGTTTTAAAAGTAAACATAAGTCAACTTACAACAACAAAAAATACTCAACATGCTAAAAATAACAAAACAAATATGTCCCTGGATGACTAATTTTCTAGTGGAACATTTGGCATTTAATTCTACCCTGACAAAGGACTGAGACTATATCACCTATAACTTTAAATTAGGGATGTCTCCAAAACAAAGGTATTATATATGCCAAAATAAAGGCAAAAATAAATGAAGAAATGAACACTGTACATCATGTGTAAGTAAAGGTATGTATACAATCTAAAGGGATCATCTACTTCTCCCTTCAATGCAGGAATTAAAAGAGATAATGTAAACCAAACAATTTGCTATTACTAATATCATACTAAAGATAGTCTTTGAATGAACTTCCTACACTGCTATCATCACACCGAACCTGTAGGCTTTCTCGCCTCCATGCAGTGTCTTTGCACATCTTACACAAACAAAGGTTACTCAGATTGTGCGTCAAATTGTCTTATAACGACACTTTGGCGCTTAACAGCATGCCAGTCTTTACTCCTGTTGGGTTTCTCTCCTGTGAGTTTGCATGTGCCTCTTCAGACTATTTGGGTGTCCAAACTGCCTGCCGCACTCCTCACATCTGTAGGGTTTCTCTCCTGTGTGAGTCCGCATGTGGCTCTTCAGACTACCTAGCTCACTGAACTGCCTGCCACACTCCTCACATCTGTAGGGTTTCTCTCCAGTGTGAGTCCGCATGTGTTTCTTCAGACTACCCGGTTCACTAAACTGCCTGCTGCACTCCTCACACCTGTAGGGTTTCTCACCAGTGTGAGTCTGCATGTGCTTCTTCAGATTACCCAGCTCATTGAACTGCCTGCTGCACTTCTCACACATGTAGGGTTTCTCCCCTGTGTGAGTCCGCATGTGTTTCTTCAGACTTCCAAGCTCACTGAACTGCCTGCTGCATTCCTCACACAAGTAGGGTTTCTCCCCTGTGTGAGTCCTCATGTGTTTCTTCAGATTACCCAGCTTACTGAACTGCTTGCCGCACTCCTCACACATGTAGGGTTTCTCCCCTGTGTGAGTCCGCATGTGTGTCTTCAGACTTCCGAGCTCACTGAACCGCCTGCTGCATTCCCCACACATGTAATGTTTCTCCTCTGTGTGAGTCCGCATGTTAGTCTTCAGATTATCCAGCCGGCTGAATTGCCTGCCACACTCTCCACACATGTATGGTTTTTCACCAGTGTGAGTCTGAATGTGACTTTTCAGATGAAACAGCCGATTAAACTGCCTGCCACACTCCTCGCACTTGTAGGATTTCTCCCCAGTGTGAGTCCACATGTGAGTCTCCAGAGCACTAAGATAACTGAACTGCTTGCCGCACTCCTCACACCTGAACACTTTCACACCTTTGTCCTGCCTCCCGGTTTCCTCTCCAGACTCCTGACAGCTTTCTCCTTGCCAGGTGGAAACGGTATTGGCAGAACCCCCTGCTGATCCTCTTTGCCAGGTGGAAACGGTGCTCGCAGAACCCTTTGCTGATCCTCCTTGCCAAGTGGAAACGATGTTGGCAGAACCCCCTGCTGATTCTCTTTGCCAGGTTGAAACAGTGTCGGCAGAACCCCCTGCTGATCCACCTTGCCAGGTGGAAACAGTGTCGGCAGAAGCCCCTTCTGGCCTTCTCTCGTCGTCATCCAAACCATGTATGCGGCCTGCTGTCGCCATGTGAGTCTGGATCAACTTCTGTAAAGACGAGAAGAAACAAACCTCTCTTAACGTAAGGAAATAAGTTGAGTGAAGTGTCAAAGCTGAAACCCCTTTGAAATACAAATCACAGGGAAAGCCTACATTAGTGAGCTGTCTTGGTGCAAGGGTGTGAAAAATGCCACTTTTATGTATATTGCAATAGACCGTCGGTTATTGAAGTTTTGTTTCCAGTTTGTTAATCTAATTATGCTAATCAGATGCTTTGATATTTTGGTACATCTCAAGTAGGTGAGAAATATGACATCATTTATCTATTGTCTATCATGCCAGGCGCCTGTCTCCCTGCTTGCCTTGCAATCTGTGATTTCATAATAAAAGCCGGGTATTCACTGGCAAAGACACAGAGAAAGGACTACTATCCAAGCCCTACGACTTCTGTGCGTGTGTACCGGCAATACTGTAAGTCCATTTTTGATCACGAAATCTTTAAGTTCACGGTTTTCACGAAGACGCTCTTCTCGTCAACTCACCTCCTCGCGAACCCATTCCGTACGTACCACCCCCTCCCCCACACATCGTGCATCTCAACTCTATTTACTATGACAAGACTCAACGAATAACAGCAGACTTCTTTTCAGAATCAAAGACAAAGACACAGAGAAATGACTATCCAAGCCCTACGACTTCTGTGTGTGTGTACCGGCAATATGCCAGTGTCTTGTACCGTGTCTGCTCTTCATAGTCCTGTGGTTAGTCCCTCGTGCAGCATCCGACAAGGACCTGAATACCAATCTCCAAGCAGATTCCAGGGTTCCAAAAAAGAGAATCAAATTGGCCAGGCAGTATATGTGCGTTGGCGGAGGTGGCGAAAAAAAGGACCATAAATAAAAAGCTAACGATCATTCCCGCACAACCTCTGCTTGGAGAGTACTAGTAGGCTGCCCGGGTTCGGCACGGGTTCGATTCCCAGCGTCCCGAAAGTCGGTTTTCCAGTTTTTTTAATCGCTCCTGTTTGTTTCACTGTCTTTTAGCGGCTAAATGTTTTGCCGCGGAGATTCACACCCTCCCATCATTCCATTGTTTTCACACTTTCTCTCGTCTGGCTTCAAGGCGAGAATTAGACGGTGATCGCGAAGGGGTTTACAGTATACTAAAGAGTGGGGAAAATTAGCATAGCCTTAGACCAACGCTTCGCTCATAACCAGCACCAGTATCACTTCACAATAATGAAATTTCATTCCATTCAGGATGTAGCACACAGGGTCGCGATAATTTTTCGGACCGATTTTTGATGCGACACACAACAGGATCTCGTAACCCCCTACCGACCCTCACTCTGTTTACGTTTTCAACTTCCAGGCGACAGCTCCTAGCCCCCTACTCCTATAAACACAATAATTTGAGAGCCAAACATTCAAACGTACAATCCAGAAATTTGTCAGATAGTTCCACATTCACACTTCGACTTTCCTTTGCTCTGAAACAAACAAATATTGGCATCTCCTTGACTGAAATTATAACAGCACGGCCCTGACCACACGCACACTGGCCCAAACGCACGCCGCCACACAAATATTATGAACCGTTGTTTGCCAACTCTACAAACCTCTGAATACCAACTACATGCCGACTTTTCCTACCTGGAAGTTAGTTGATACACAGTCCGGGCTGAGTCGCCTGTTGAATCGCTGCAAAACTCCCCCAAAGACGGAAAACTGCTCAAGATGCCGCGTTCTTGTGGGACAGGAAGTCGCGATGCCGTGACCCGGAAGTACTACTCTGGTCAGAGGTCAAGTATCCATACCTGATTACCCAACACATGTGCATGGACGTTGGACCAAAGGCTAGTAATCGGTAATAATTTGTGACGGAAAAAAGCCACTGGTAGTCACCGGCCTGTGTTTTAGGTCATAAATATATATATATATATCGACAAGGTGATTTACATTCTATATAGCCAAATTGCCCATTTAGTTCATAATGTCATGATTCTACATGAACTGATCACCCAACAAATGTACACGGGCCTAAGACCATATACCCTTATCGGGCTTGCTCATGAAAAGAAAATGATCTGTAACAGAAAACCATTCCTTTAAATGCAATATTTAACGGTGTCTGAGGACTTTTTGGAAATACTAGTATAGAAAAAAAACTCTATCTGACATGGTAGACTTTTAGGTCTATTTTTATAATCTATGATATTTTTTTTGCCAGGGCCACATTTTGACCGCGAAATTAAATGACAAAGTTCACAATTTTTACGCGTCATCTAACATCCGGGCTCCCATATGTGGAGCGTTGTGTGTGCCCTTCCAAATAATGTGCACACACCCCGGCCCCCCTGGCGGCTTTTTTGGTACTGCAGCAGAACTTCCGGTTTTGATATCTCGCGATCTGGACATGCTAGGGTCAGAAATTTTAGTTGGTAGATAGCTCTTGAGGTAGGGAAGAAGTGACATGAGTTTGGGCCCCCTAGCGGCTTGTTCTGGAACTGCAGGGGCATTTGTTGAAAAATTTTCGAAGGATGATAACTCAAGAACCGGTTGACGGATTGTCGTGATTTTTGGTATGCAGGTAGCTGAAGGGATGCTTGACATCAAATGACAATTATACAAATCAGGAGCTAATTTGCATAATTAATGAGGAAATTCTATAAATCTGCTTTGTTCGATAAAAGGACTATGAAACACTTGTAATTGAGAATAGAAAAAAAACATCTGAGGATATAGATTATGTAAATGAAGACCTATATTGCATAATGAATGGGAAATTTTTAAAATTTCATAGTTGTAACTACTGGGAATTTCATACTTGCCACATTTGGAAGTTAAGTGAAGGCGAACATCAATAAACATAATTTATTCAAATCATGACCACATTTGCATTATTTCTGAGGAAGTGCTATAATAGCCTTTTTGTTAAGATAAGACTGTCATTGGGTGGAGAATATGATTAACTGACATAACCCATGCAAATGAGGATCTTATTTGCAAAATCAATTATCAAAATTGTATAATTCTTCAACCGCAAGGGTTAACATCATTTGGCGAAGGTATGAGGTCGTGTTTATTTCTGTTATTTTGTCGAATAAAGATTTTATTTTTAAAAATTCCATATCCGTTGTATATATAGGCGCTACCTCCGCACAGAGCTACAAAGGTTGCTACACGGCAATAGTATTGGTCTCATCGGCAGAGGGACTTCCCAGGACATGGTCAAGGCGGCACAACGCAGTTTTAGCCCTATGGGGATTTCTATAGTTAAGGACCCCAAAGTGACTCAAGTTCGACTCACTGAAAATCATAGTAGAGTGCACAAGCAAGGTTCAGAATTTTGATATGTCTAATTTCAGTATAGTGTACACAATACGTGAAAATGAGCTTAAATTTGCCGGCTAGTTCTCTTCTCACGTCCTCTTTTATTAGCGCCACTACGGATGGTCATGAAACTGCAGGCAAAGCACAGTACTAGACGAGTGTTGTGTCCCAAACCGTGCCTTGTCCCAAACCGTGCCTTGGGCAAATCTACATTCTGGGACACGTGGGGACTGTCCCGAACCGTGCCTGACCGGGCACAGTTCTGAACACAAAAGGGCCTTGTCCCATTCCATGCTCTGTGGGTGGAGCTTATTGTTTTGAGGGAGGAGCCTTCTCGTGGTGTTGTTTACTGTTTTAGGCCGCCATCTTTGTTTTTCGTCGGGGCAAGAATAAGAAAGAATCGGTGTAATTCTTGCTCTGTACATTTTTACATTTCACGCTGGTCTACGACTTACATGTAGTATCCAAACAGAGTGTCTTGTACCATTCTGCAACACAGTGCGAACACAGTTCTTGATACAACACAGCACGTAGTACACCCAAGAAAGCAGACTGACCCAAGCTTAGTCCCGGAATCGGAAACAACTTATCCACCAAGCCCACGCACGGATCTGGATAGTCCTGACGCGTATCCACGACAGACTAGAGCAAATTAACTTGTAGATAAACAAAGTGTTTGTCCAGAACCGCGCCTCAGGTAGCGCACAGTTCTGGACACGCGATGGCCTTGTCCCAATACATGCCCGGGCACGGTCTGGGACACTCAGCGCGTGTCCCGAACCGTGCCTGGGGACTGAGCACAGTTCGGGACACGCGGATGCCTTGTCCCAAACTGTGCTTGGGCATGGTTTCGCGTGTCCCAAACCGTGCCTGGTGAAAATCTACATTCTGGGACACGCGGGGGACTGTTGTGTCCCAAACCGTGCCTTGTCCCAAACCATGCCTGGGCAAAACAACTCTATATGTGCTTAAACACTAATATCTGTAAGGCGTGACCAACATATGATGTTAGCGAAAATGTCACATACGCCTCTCTTCTTCCGTATTTGAAATGGCTGTCACTTCTTTGTTTTATAATTGTGAAGACAAAGACTTTTAATATCATACATGTACCATATCTAACAAAGTTTCTTTCATCCTCCTCTGTAGGGGAGCGGCTGTTGACGTTGAAAATGATGGTTGAGGCCATGAGAGACACCGTGTGACTGTACAAACGTGACTGACACTATTTAAAGTTAAACTTTTGTTCCAACACAAAAAAATCTCTCTCCTAGAGCTTTCTACCAGTCACTCTGGTCTTCCTCAGTAGACTGACCCAGTGAAGCTTGTCACGTGGTTTCTTTGAAGTGTGACGTCAACACTAAGTCAAAGGTATCTGTTAGACGATGTCGATCCCCGTCGCGGTTCAATGTAGGGTGATGGGCCGTGATGTAAATGGTTCCCTTCACCCCTCTCAAGAAATAGTCTTGTTCAGAGTCTAAAATCCTTACAGTGTCAAATGAAACAAAATGTCCGGGTGACTCTATGTGGATGTGTTGAGACACCTCTGAACTAGCAGAGCTAGGCCGTGTATGTTCTTGAAACCTGGCTTTTAGAGACCTCTCTGTTTCCCCATTGTACGTTTCCTGGCAGGGCCCCTTCTTGTTTTTGCCCTGGCAGGGGATGTGGCAAATGACACCACACTTCTTCTCTTTGGGGGTTTTGTCCTTGGGTGCAACAAGAATGTCTTAAAGTAGTCGTTGGCTTCACTGGGTAAGTCTACTGAGGAAGACCAGAGTGTACTGGTCGAAAGCTCTAGGTGAGAGAATATTTTTGTGTTGGAACAAAAGTTTTAACTTAAACATGTAACTACCAACACAGATGAACTTTCATGATAGTGACTGACACTAGTTACTCTAGGACATTTGACAAGTCGGTCAATACATCGACGAGGAAGGGCTAGGCATTTTATCGAAACTATGTAATGATGTGAATATTGTGCATGAAAAGTGCTATAGCTTAAGGATTTCAACGTTAAGTAGTTTCTTCTATATTGTATAGTTTAATATCGACCAAATACAATGCGTTGGGCATAGATATGAATGTAATTAATATGTTGACTGATCTATATTCGTGTTTTGTTACCAGTTTGATAAAGCAATCGTTTAGATATAAGTTGTGCTGTGTTAGATATCAATAGTACATGTATTATCTTTGCTGGAAAATGCACAACTTATTTTGTCTCGATTCTACAACGGAATAACTGCAGTTAGTAGAAATTCTTTGATCAGTGACTGTATTTTTGTAACGTAGATTACGTACCTCCAAATTTTCGGTGTCGACTTTACTCCTTTATCACGGAATGACCTAGTCTCGCCTTCATTGCAATTCATCCCAGCACGTTCCAACTGAATGTGGACCGCTTCCTTAATCTTTCTAGCGTGTTCTCGCGAGACTAGGTCATTCCGTGATCAAGATGTACAGTCGACACCGAAAATTTGGAGGTACGTAATCTACCTTACGAAAATACAGTCACTGATCGAAGAATTTCTACTAACTGTTAATTCTACGTGACTGATGAACCTCTTTAAGGAATAACTGCACATTTCATAGTGTGTGAAAGGGCAATAAATATGTTGTAATAAAGTTAATCGAGTGTGAGTATTTTTGTGAAGGACGTTGGTTAGGAATAAAATTAAAAATAGATACGGTAGTCCACAACAGTCCTTCAACTGCCCCGCAACAAGTATGCACAATTTAACTAATTGTCCTGTAAATATTTCATGAGCCAGTATTGCCGCGTGCATCGCTGTCATTAAAACCTCACATATTAAGCTGGAGAAATATAATATGAGGTCAATGACCTATGTGGTAGCTATATAGGCACCTGTAAAACTTCACTAAGTACCGTTGGCCATAATAACTAAATAGCTTTTGAAAACAACGCTTCCAGTTAAATAAAGATAAATAAATGTAGAAATGTTAGGATGTAACAGGTCGGTCAGTGCAATATATAAGCTTGGATACTTTATTCAGTCCATTAGCTGTCGTACACAAATACACGAATACGCAGCTAATCTTCCTGGACCGTAAAAACATAGAACAAGGACATACAAACTACATAAAGCTAACATCTAGTATTTACAATTAAAACATGATTAATCAATTAGGATTGATGATATGCAGCACGAGCTCCTGCCGAAACCTACACTTACTAGCGCATTTAACACCATCAGGTAAAATATTCCATGTTAAGACAGACCTATACATAAAAGTCTTTTTTTCATGGCGTCAGTTTTGGGTTTTGGCAGTCTGAATGTGTTTCTGCTTGCATGGCGTGTCTTGTAACTGTGTTGGTTTATTACTGGAAGCAACTGCTTTTACAGGACAGCCGGTTGTTGTGTGACAAGAGTCCCCCGGAGTTGAGAGATGG